AAAATATATTAAATGAATCCAGAATGACTTCAAATTTGGCACACAAGTCATAAATAACATAACGGAGCTGTCCAAATTTCAAGAATCAGATTCCGGCTCCGATATCAAAAAGTCAACCCCGTGGTAAAACTTGAAATCTTTATCCTTTAAATTGTTAGTTCCGTTAAATGGTCATAACTTGAGCTAGGGACCTCCAAATTAAATTCCGGGCATATGCCCAAGTCCCAAATCACGATACGGAGCTATCAAAATTGTCAAAATACTGATCCAAGTCTGTTTGCTATAAATATTGACCAAAATCAACTCAGTTGAGTTTTAAAGCTTTGTTTCATGTTTTAATCCATTTTTCACATGAAAACTTTGCGAAAAATTTTACGGACTGCGCACGCAAGTCGAAGAATGACAAATGATATTTTTTGAGGTCTTAGAATAAAGAATTAATTATTAAATTTAAATATGACATTTTGGGTCGTCACATTCTTTTATTGCCTCAAGGCTTGTCACCTATTGTCTTTTCCGTCACTTGACTATACACTCTATCATCCTGTCATATTTTGATTTACTGTTATCACTCATGTATCACATCTTACTCATGATACTTCATTTACTCTCTTCTTATTCTCCGGCTAATATTTATGTCCATCGCTTTATTCTGAAAACTTCAACAAAACGTTATTTCACTTTTAGTTCCCCTTGCTTCATCTCACTAGCTCTTCGGGACGCCTAACATTCTCCTTTTTTTAACTAGGGGATTGAGTCATACTAAGGTAAATATTTATCACTTCTAGGATTCCACTACCTATCTTCTGAAATTTCTAAACATTCTGATATTCATATATGACAATACAATTCTAGAGTGCACCATCTGGATGTCTCGCATGGAAAACTATTACCATATTTTGCACTATAATTCTAGTGATAACTATCCATCCACCATTTTTAGGTTACTCTAACCCCAACTAGATCATGATATCCCATCCTTCTCTTAAACTATATCTGTTAGCCCTCGTAGGACATAACTGAGATGGGTGTTGTCAAGTGTATATACTCTGTTACTGTTGAAAGTAACTCAGAATGCTTATATTTCTCTGCATGAATTGTAAATACTGATAATCTTCACGAATTGGGTACCTCGTATCCTTCTTCACCTTGCTTCTTTTACTTATTGAAACTTATATCTACCTTCTGATTCTCTCGTTGCTTTTTACCATAGGGGTGGATAGATATTCAAGCCTTAGGGTTCATTTCTTACACATCTTAGTACACACATGATCTGTTGAAGACCTTACATTTACTCATCATAAACATGATGCAAAATCGAGTTCCTCTTACCCAACTCTTCCACAACCATATTCAATCTCTTACCAATTGTATCTCTAGATGTAAATATCATTGTGTTACAAATAACATAGAATTTATGAGTTTGAATTCTTATAACCGAGCTCTACCACATGATCTAGAGTAATAAAAAAGAGTGACAGTCCTAATGCCTTGTAGCCTCCTGCTTATAAGTGTTGTGTACAATACACCCACAAACAAGACTATACTAGACACGACTTGTATACTCCCTAGAACAGAGCTGCTCTGATAGTACTTCTGTCACTACCCAAACTGTAGGGTCGCGACAGGCACCCGGTGCCTAACTCAACCGAGTACCAACGTAACGTATCCTTCTTATCATACTATCATGGGTAAATGAACCCGAAAGGCCGTCATGAGATAACTAGAAATAAACATAAGAGGATACTCGATATGGGATGACCCAACATGATATAGAAGCTTATGCATGCGACATACGGGCCCATAAGGCCGACATAATCATTTATATACTCAAAACATAGGCCGACAAGGCCATATAAGTATCCATATACATGACATCTGTTTACAAGCCTCTACGAGTACATAAATGTCACAAAGTTTGAGATATGGCTCCGCCAACCAATCAATACATGTCCAAATCATACTGACCAAATAGGCAACTCCGGAGCAAGTGGAGTGCACCAACACATTCCGCTAAGTTTATAGCCTACGAGGAGGACTGTAAACTTGTCTATCGGGACCTGCGGGCATGAAACATAGTATCCCCAGGCAAAGGGACTCCAATACAAATAAAGTACCGAGTATATAAGGCATGACAATTGTATATAAAAGACATGAAAGAAACACAGAGTAGAGAACTCAACCTGTAATTCTGAATAGCTTTGTGAATCATGAAAAATTTATAATGTCATGCATGTGCATATAAATGCCATACGATGCATAGATATATGCATACATAACATCATCAAGCCTCTAAGGGCATCTCATCATATCATCTCAGCCACTGTGGGCGAAATCATTAACTTATGTCAGCTGATCAGGTAGATGTGCGTATATAACGCCATAACCTTTCCCCATACCCCATATACATATAATATATGCGTATATAAAGCCCATTTGATCATGGGTCAATGTACATGTATAAATGAATGCAATGTATAAGGAAGTAAGTCAATAAGATCTTTCAGAATGTCATAAGACCCATGAACAGACGATATGACAGTTGGACATATGGGGAATCAAGAACATAGGCAACCCTAGTACTTATAGGAATAGAATCATTTGTGAAAGTTGCGTGCTTGCTCGTTTCGTTGCATCATATGGATCATGCCAAAAGGAAAGAAGGGATAGCCTTAACATACATTTGCAATCTTCTCTCCAATCGTCAACCAAGCTCAATATGATCTTCTTACGTCTACAATGATTAACTCGACTTCGTCGTTATCATATAATTATTGTAACTCTCATATTTCAAAACCAATATTCTACAAGAAAACGGATATCACCTCCCCTATTTTTACTACATCCCATAAGTTACTAAAATTTACCAAACAACCCAAACAACAACAATAATTCACAATAATTCCTTAGTCGATTTTTTCCGCAACTTAAATCCGATTTTCCCAAACTTTATATTTCATATCCAAACATCATATACAGTCATATCATGACTTTAAACTCATTTAAATCATGATTAATAAGTCTCATATTCATCTTAACTTACTTAATACTTCACTAAACCTTTCTTATCATTGTGGAATGATTTCGCCCTTTTTGAGTTTACATTAGATAATCCTATAATGACAGTGACTTCTGAAGTACGGGGTGTAACAACATTAAATCACTTCATATACTTTCAAATAGGATCTCATTTTCGAGCTTACATCAATTGACTTACGACGTACTTTCACATACAAAAATATGGGGTATAACAATAACATAGTGGTGACTTTTTTTGTTCAGCATTAAAATTGGTGACTAAACACTAAGCTAGCGTTTGACCACAGATTCCCAAATTTATTCTGAAAAATCTGATTTGGGTGAAGTTTGGTTTGTAGATGAAAATGTGTTTGGACATCTGTTTTGGGTGAACTTTGGTTTGAAAAAATATGAAACATGACTTATACCCACAAGTTGCTAAAAACTATCACAAATACCCAACAATACCATTATCAATAACATTCATTATATTATCGTAAACCATACTCCTGAACATAAATAAATTTGATACAAAATTATTACTTTTATAATGAACTATATGATACACTATCAGATGAGACCGACGAAGCAACATCGTTACAAAATAATAAATGGTAGACTCTTTTATAAAATACAAAAGTTTGGGGCAATTTTTAAAAAAATATAATAGTGATATTTTGGCCCAGCTGGTTTTGTGATTTGGCCAAAATGTAGGCAAAATCTATGACCAAACATGTGTTTGCCAAATAAAATCTAAATTTATTTTGGTAAAATCTATGGTCAAACGGGTCCTAAATAACAGCCTAAAAAGTGGCCACCCCGTGCCATTTCCGCTGAGATAAGCAGGTGACAAAATTTTAAGACTACCCCTTATGGTGTCAGATATTTGCAAGTTTCTGTACGAGAGTCGGACACTATAAATTGCATAGTATAACTACTTTTTGACTATATTTAAAAGTTAGCCATAGTTTAAATTTAGCAAATACATACATTCTTATCTTTTATAACGAGAATGAGGTAGCCAACTATCTCACGACCTCTCAATTTGACGTTCTCCTTTATGTTCTTATTCATTATTATATGATCAAAGACACGCGTTAAGTTTCTTGAGATACAATAAATTTGTTAATCTCACTAGTCCCAACTTAACGATCAACTTTTGTTCTTAACTAATTATTACATGATCAAAGTCAAATGACTTCGGAGCATGTAATTGATGAGTATAATCCAAGTTTTTTTTTTGACAAAAGCATTTATAATTAAATAATACAAAAATTATGACGACCAGCAACCAAAAAATCTTTCTTCCAATATGTTTTCTGACGGATATTTGTCAAATATATCAAATATTTGCCATAGAATAATCATATGCTCCAGTAGATAAACATAAATACCGATATTGCTCGCTGGACAACTCATGGTACTCAAAAAATCCAACTTTTCTAGGACTAAATGTTGGAGTTATGTCGGACTTCGGATGTTCCGACGGTTAATCGTCATTAACTTAAATTTTGTCGAATTTTTTTGAATGTCAGAATTATTAAGCAGTAGGAAATATTTGGTGGAAACTTCTATGGCCTGTGACCAATTTTTTTTTTTGCAACACATTTTTTTTATGGGTACTTTCCGACCAACAATTCATCAGTTTTCTTTATTTTTCTACGATCTTCTGGCATATTTGTCGGTTGATGATTTGTGTACTCTCAAGTCAAATAGTATCCGTCTTAAATACTTTGATCCATATACTAAAAATTTATATATTCTTATTTTACATTCAATCCCGTATAAAAATATCAATTAGCACATGTATAACGAAACAAGGAGGTAGAAAATTGTATGATAGGTCTGTAGCCAAAGTGAGCCAAACCCAAATGGTTTAAAGTAGAATTCACTCATAAAGAAGACCGTGGGCAACATTGTCATTTCAGAGCTAAATAAAATAATAGAAAAAAGAAAGCGCGGGAAAGAGAGTCACCCCCCACTCCCTTTGCTCCCTCTTTTCAGTGGAATTTCAGACCCTAACATACTCAAATAAAAAAACCAAACTCTATCTCCAACTTCCGATTTCAATCCCTTCCCCAGCTCAATAACTATACTTTACTCGCCGGCGTTCACATCGGAAAAAGGATGAACGGCGGTGGAGATAACCGGCGCCGGGACTGGCGAGACACCACGAGGATTTCAAAGAAGCAGAAACTCATCCTTAACTCCGAAGAACAACTCGAATCCAAGCTCGGATTCGATGTTTTCACCGAAGGAGATAAACGACTCGGCTGGCTTCTCACTCTGGCCTCTGTACTACTACACCTCAAATTTTACCTCTTTTTTTGTGTGGAAATTTTAATGAATAAATGAATTTTAATTCTTTTATGTTTTCTGGTTCAATTTTGTAGTCGTCGTGGGAGGATCAGGAGACTCGCAAAGTGTACAGTTGCGTCGATCTTTATTTCGTTTGTCAGGTAAAAATTATACTGTGATGTTGTTGCTTATTTATGTGAAAAAAAGAAAATGTTATTTTTTGTGAGTTATTGATAGAATATTCTTACTATGGTGTTTGTTTATTGATTCGAGAAAGGAAAAAATGAATTGTTAATCTCTGTGGGTTTTTATGTGGGAATTTTTGATTGAAGGATGGTTCAACATTCAAAGCGAAGTATAAATTCAGGCCATACTTTTACGTGGCAACAAAGGTCAGTGATTTTTCTTTTGAAATGATTTAGCTTTCTATTCTCAAAGAGTGGAAGGAGCTCCTTNGTCAGGTAAAATTTATACTGTGATTTTGTTGCTTATTTATGTGAAAAAAGAAAATGTTATTTTTTATGAGTTATTGATAGAATATTCTTACTGATGATGTTTGTTTATTGATTCTAGAAAGGAAAAAATGAATTGTTAATGTCTGTGGGTTTTTATGTGGGAATTTTTGATTGAAGGATGGTTCAACATTCAAATCGAAGTATAAATTCAGGCCATACTTTTACGTGGCAACAAAGGTCAGTGATTTTTCTTTTGAAATGATTTAGCTTTCTATACTCAAAGAGAGGAAGGAGCTCTTTTTTTTTTCTGGTGCAAATTTCATATTTTTGTTGATTGTTGTGCTTTTGTTTGACAGGATAAAATGGAAATGGATGTCGAGGCATATTTGAGAAGGCGATATGAATCTCAAATTGCAGACATTGAAATTTTAGAGAAAGAGGATCTTGATCTTGTAAGTCTCTCAACATCAAAGTTAGGATTTGCTTTTCTCACGAGTGCTCTCACTTTCAACAGTTCCGTGTTGATGGAGTGTAGAGTGCATATGAGTGGGATCCCACCACCCCACCTCCCCCACAAAATAAAAAGATCTATTGGATGGGTAAAGTGCGCCCAGAAATGCAGCTGGCCGATAACTTGATTTTGCATTCTATCACTTCCCATTTCCTGTTACTAAAATATTTTGTCAGTGGAGTCATCATTGTTTGAATGCTATGCACTAGAGAAAATAGGTCACATGTCTTGTCACGACGTGGCAAACTGGAGTCTGGAGATGTATATAGATTTTGGGGAACTGGAACCACAGAAAAAATGCGGTGTTTTATGTTGTTATGTGTTTAAGCTTGTAAAACATGCTCAAACTGTTGAACTTTTTGAGCTCATTACACAATTGTATGCAGTCCCCCTTGTAATTATCTCACAGGCTACAGCACATTCTTGCTGCTGAAATCGATATAGAACCTTTAACAATAAAAAAACATGCTCAAACTATTAGACTTGAATGATGCTGATATAATTTTATCAAGCTATATTTAGGTTTTTTTTGAACTTTGAAAATTGTTGGATATTTTGGTGTTTATTCATAAGTCGTAACTAACACTGTTAGAAAATCATTTACCCCCTCCACCCTCCATTTGGTATTTCCTTTCGGATTTACTAGGTAAGAGGAAACAGCTTAACAAGTAATTTAATGAAACCATTTACCTTGTCTATGGTGAAATAAGCATGAGAAATAACTTATTACACTGTATGGAAAGAAAGAAATAAGAGGTGTTTTGAAGGCAAGAAGGAGCAGCTGCAGTCTGTGGAATATCGTTGTTTGCATTATTTGTACTACTGGAAAGATGAAAATGTTGTAGTGAATTTACATAACATGCTGGACATGCTAAACTGCTTAGGATTTTAATGTTTTTAAGCCAGCACTATCTCTGTATTTACACAGGTTGATACTGTTTTAATAAAATCTTCACCTTATCCTCAAAAGAAAACACTAAAAAGGAACTTATATTCTAGCTTTCCCTACTTTCTTTTTATTTAATGAAAGAAAGGTGGTGGCATTGATTCTTCTACCACAAAAAAAGAAGAGTGTACAAGGGGCAATTGCTTGGAGATGTATATATATTTTGATCACCATGGTGTCTAGGCCAGCTTGCACACACCTGGACTAATTCCATGGGATACTTATTACCTCCCACCAACATAGGTCGCCGGGTAACTCTGTCCACCAAGGCTTGAACAAATTGGAAGAAATTACCTAGTGTGTTTGCCTTTGTTGGGATTTGAACCCGAGACTTCATGGTACTCAATCCACTTCATTGGCCACACCATTGGATGCAACTGCATGGAGATGTATATAAGTTGTCTTTGAACTGTTAATGAACTTAATTTAACTTTTATCCCATATATTAGTGTGCTTCCTTTTCAAGAAAGCTCGAAACACATAGCAATTCCTACATTTTTGAGCTGTTGAGATTTTGTAGGAGGTTTAGAGCCTGTTTGGCCAAGCTTCTCGGAGGCCAAAAGTACTTTTTTTTGGTCAAAAAAGTACTTTTTGAAAGATGGTGTTTGGCCAAAATGAAAAAATACTTTTGGCAGCAGCAGAAGCAGTTTTTCTGCTGTTGGGGAGAAGGTACAAATTCTAGCTTCTTACAAGAAGCAGAAGTAGTTAGGCCAGTCAAGAATTCACATAGCCAGAAGTTGAAAGTAGCCAAAATGAGTATGTTGAGATGGATGTGCGGGCATACTAGACTGGATGAGATTAGGAATGAAGATATTCGGGAGAGAGTGGGCGTGGCTCCCATGGACGACAAGATGCGGGAAGCGAGGCTTGGATGGTTCAGGCACGTGCGGAGAAGAAGCTTAGATGCGCCGGTTAGGAGTTGTTCGCGGTTGGCCTTGGCAGGTACGAGAAGAGGTAGAGGGCGGCCTAAGAAGTATTGGGGCGAGGTGATCAGGCATGACATGACGCGACTTCAAATTTCCGAGGACATGGCTCTTGACAGGAACGTTTGGAGGTCGAGCATTAGGGTTGTAGGCTAGGGGCTAGTCTAGCGTTTTTCCTCTTTGTACTGGATAGTCTGATAGAGTTTTATCTAAGACGGCTAGTATTGTGTTATTGCTTACAAGCTCAACATTTCTCCATGGATTACAAATGTATAAAATTTAGAGTTGTCTAATCTCAAGGAAACTTTAAATAGCTGGATAGTTTCTTAATATGGTTCAGTAAACAGGGAAAGTAGGTCGGCATATGGCTCAAGTAAGAAGTAGATCTAGAGTGAATTGCACTTGCAAGGTCTGTGTATCTGCGTTGTATTGCTCCAGGCATAGTAAAAATGTTAAATGGCACATCGCGAGGACAGGTTAAACAACCTGGTTTAGTATTGATCCTGTGGTGAAAAAATTTCTAGCTATTGGCACTTCTACATTGTTGTTAAAATTTTCGGAATCTGTTTACTGTTTGTTCTGGTTCAACCTACACTATTTATTTTTTATGCCTTCAGTATCTCTTCTGATGATTTTTTTGTCTTTTTTCAGAAAAACCATCTATCTGGCCTACACAGATCGTATTTAAAAATATCATTTGATACTGTCCAACAGTTGATGCACGTGAAGAGGGATCTAACACATATTGTTGAGAGAAACCAAACGAAGTTTGATACCATAGAAGCATATGAATCTATACTGACAGGAAAAAGGTACTTTCTGATATTCTGAAATAATATCTATTAGCCATAAATATACATTCGTTAAATACATAACGAAGTTCACATACCATTTGAATGATTATCAGTTGTTTTCAAAAGTTTTACATTTCCTTATTAATTGATACCAATCATTTCATTTACGTTTTATTATGGTGGTACGTCAATCTTGAGGTGATTGTTTCCTGACATGCAGCAAGCAGCGAAGTCAAGATTTTATAGATTATATCACTGATCTACGTGAATATGATGTCCCGTACCATGTTCGCTATGCTATTGACAATGGTGATGTCCTTTCCAATGTTGTACATTTTTCTGAAGTCTCTTGGTCAACCCTTTTGTAATTTTTGGATTAACTGTTTTATGTGCTCTGATGTTAACGTTGAGATTTACATTTATTAGATGTTAGATGTGGCCAGTGGTACGATGTTAGTGTATCTAGTTCTGGGGTTATGTTAGAGAAGAGGACGGATCTCTTGCAGCGAGCTGAAGTTCATGTCTGTGCCTTTGATATTGAAACAACGAAGCTTCCTCTTAAGTTTCCTGATGCCGAATATGATTCCGTAATGATGATCTCATACATGGTTGATGGCCAAGGCTATCTCATTATTAACAGAGAGGTGCTCATTCTGTACTGCGTTTATGTAAACTTACATTTATTTTCTAATCCGAACTGAGTTTTGTGGATTTTGTTTTCCTACCCATTATAAGAATCTGAGAAGTTACTAGTGATAGGTTTCATGATCTACATGATTTCTTCAGGTCTTCTTCACTGTGTTTGTCCATTTAGGGTCTTAGCATAGATTATATAGCTGGTTGTTGTTAGTGGGACTCCTCCCTGGAGCGGCTCCCTAAGTAATATGTCTAAAAGAAATATGCTTATTTATTTTGGATAAGTAAATTGATGCAATTATAACCTATTTGTTCTGATACCTTAAAAAGAACTAGTTCTTCTGAATTTCCAGTGTGTTGCGGAAGATATAGAGGATATAGAGTATACCCCAAAACCAGAGTATGAAGGGCACTTTAAAGTAACAAATGTGAAAAATGAGGTAATGGCTTTTCCTGCAACTTTGTACAATGTATATCTTTGCGATTGAGAATCACAATTCCACTCTTGTACAACATTATTTTGTCACAGGAAGGGCTCCTTAGACACTGGTTTGCACATATGCAAGTGGTGAAACCCGGCATCTATGTAACATATAATGGTGACTTCTTTGATTGGCCATTTTTGGAGACAAGAGCAACTCATTATGGCTTGAGTATGAAGGATGTATGTAGCTCCTTACTCTTAGACTGTTTTATGTTAGTTCTCTCGAGTAATTTATCTTTGAGCATTTTTCTCTCTTTTCCTTTTTTATGAATGGTTCTCTGGAATGATGCTACTTTGTTATTTTTATTCCTGTCAATATCTAAATAATATAACTGTTAATAAAGTCTAAGAAAATTTTCCCGAAGCACCTAATTGATTATCTAATTGAATATCTAACATTGCTCTCTGTCCCATATCAACTTCACAATAATATAATTTGTCTGTGTCTAGGGGCAAAGATATATGACTTGTTTCCTTTTCTAAGGCATTAGACAAGTACCTTTTGGCTCAGTATACCAATGCTGCCAAAAAATCTTTTGTTTTCTGATTTTTCTCTGAAATCTTGCAGCTTATTGCTGTAATTCCAACAATCATGTAGTTCATAAAGGTTGCAGGTTCTTGTTGTGTTATGTTGTTGAGAATAACTTGTAAAATCGTCATTTTCGAAATTAGTATTATTTTCGTTTCTTTGCTTTTATGTTTTGTGGTTTCTTATTTCTGGCTGACACCCATGATACACACAAATTCTTTTTAATTTATCACTGCACCTCTTTTGAGCTGCAGGAGCTTGGATTTTCTTGTGACAAGAATCAAGGGGAATGCCGTGCTAAATTTGCTTGCCATCTGGATTGTTTTGCTTGGGTCAAACGTGATAGTTATCTTCCTCAAGGAAGTCAGGGTCTGAAGGTGTATTTCATAACTTCTTTTGGTATTTTTATTGCTTATACTCTCTTATTCTTCTTTTTCCCAGATTCCTTGTGATTTTACCTTTTACTGAAGATTTCATGTATTCCAGTAGGATCTTTCTTGTCTTCACACTAGTTCTCTGCTTTTTTTAGGGCTGCTGGTTGATAAAGTAATACTAAACTTTTATATTTTCCGTGAAATTCCACATATTGTTTGCCTAAAGAGCTCAAATCTGCTGAAAGTATTTCTCTTCTTTCATTATCTGCTTAGCTACGCTTGAAATTTATATGCTTGGAAAGATTCACTTTGGGCTGGAAGGTGGTTATTCCCTCTATAATCAGATTACATATCTTTTTGCTTCTTCAGAATTACATAGTTTCCTACAGTACTTTTGAGGATAATTTTTTGGAAATCCGAAGAAACCGGTTCATTTTCTTTTGCTCATGAAATTCCAGCATATTTGGATAAACTTTCATATCTGTAACTATATCTGACTCGGCATTGTGATCTCCGATGTAACTATTGCCATATTCCACTTCTAACTCAGGCTGTTACGAAGGCCAAGTTGGGTTACGATCCTCTAGAAGTTAATCCTGAGGATATGGTTCGCTTTGCAATGGAAAAACCGCAGGTATGAGCTACTTAAAATTGGTTTGTCTTAATAAGTTAACTTAAACGATGATCTTTTGCTATAAAAGTGTTAAGACTTGTGATTAATATACAGACCCGAGCTCCTGCTTGACAATTTTATGATGGAAAATATATGTGTATAGCTTCAATTATATATGGATTTCACAATCTTCATCAAATGTTCATTTGACTATACCAGTTGCCCGACCGGATCCAAGACTTGTGTATTAGCTTTAGCTTGCGAGTCCATTTAGTTTTCTTGCTGCATAAATGCATGCCTTTGAACTTTTCTCTAGTCCAAAGACTGCTCACTGTTAAAAGGGATGTTTATTTACTTCCTAGTCATCACTGTTACTTTGTAATTTCTGCCCCATTTTGCACATTTCATGCTAGAATTTAAGGATTAATTTCTCTGGTTGCATGTGGTAGATAAATTACCCTCTCTGATTTGAGGGTTGTGATCCATTTGTCTTCTCTCAACAGCATTTTGGAATTCTTACAAATGTTTTCATTAGCTTCGTCAGCACTCTTTCAGTACCGCTATTAAGATGCATAGCCAGAATATATGAAGAATTGACCTTAGTAGATTCCTCGTATGAACTTCTGTTAGGCATTGCCAATTCTTTTGGAGTATTCATCCATGGAATTAGCGTCCAAGTGTAGAGCTCATTCCACAATTGTGCTTGTGTAACCCTGATTTCCATTCTGGCTAATACTATTTCTTCCCCTCAAACAACTGTGATTTGCGAGAAATATATGAGTGCTTAATCTGGTAAAGGAGAAACATATAGAGAAGTGGAGTACATTCGTCGTCTTTTGCACTTCATTTACTGGAGGACGTACAGTCTAGATAACCTAACTCTTGTTTGTTATAATGGTTTTGCAGATGATGGCTTCATATTCTGTTTCAGATGCTGTTTCAACTTACTACTTGTATATGACTTATGTTCATCCCTTCATTTTCTCCCTTGCAACCATAATACCTATGCCGCCAGATGAAGTCTTACGCAAAGGAAGTGGGACTTTGTGTGAAATGCTTCTTATGGTCCAGGTAGGTGGCCTTTTGAAGCCTTTTCCTGATTTCTTTTCTGGTTCTCTGTTAGTTCCTTGTTTATGATTTTTAGTTTCATGGTTGGTGCCTCTTCAGTGTTTGAATTCATTTGACTTAGAAAAGAGGACAAAGAAAATCCCCACTCATGCATTCCGCTTTTCATCTGCATGGTAACTGCCTTATTTTGTTTTTTTTCTGCATTTCTCGTTCGTGCAGGCTTATAAGGCAAATGTTATCTGTCCAAACAAGCACCAGTCTGATCCAGAGAAGTTTTATGGTAGTCAACTCCTTGAGAGTGAGACTTATATTGGTGGTCATGTGGAATGCCTAGAAAGTGGTGTATTCAGATCTGACCTTCCAACTAGTTTTAAGCTCGACCCGTCTGCCTATGAGGTAAACCATGTTGTAAAGATTTCTCTTCCTCCAGATTAGACAAATTTATGCCACTACTACTTTATGACTTATTCTACTAGCTACTATATTTTTTCACCATTTTAAACTATTACTATAATCACTTCTTTTACTAATATAACAATCTATGTAAGCTTTCTTTTTTCTGTTAATCCTCCACGGATTTTGAAGTAGGTAATCTATTTCGGGACAAAGGAATAGAGGAGTTGTTCCTCCTCAAACCATCTACTCCTAGTTGATAATACTATAAACTTTTTGGCACTAAGCATGAAGCCTTGGCTGAATACATGGATGTCCGTTGATTATATTTTCATGAATATTGACTTTGAAGGGAATAGTATATTTGCTCTCCAACTGCCTTTTGACAAACGTAACAAAATATCATAATGAGGTGAATATATTTCCATCTAGTCTAGCAGATTACTACTCTATGTTAAAGATGAACTAACATTAGCTTGGACACTGTTGCCTGGGTTGTTTCTTTGAAGAAAATGTCTTTGTTGAGCTTTACTGTTAACGAAGATAAGCATACAAACTTTAAGATAATGCTTACAGTAGTCTAAGTTATCGTTTTTTAAGATTAAGATGTATGAATCTGAATACATATCATATTGTCTCTAAAATCTAAACACGACATAATTAAGAATCTTTGTTTCTCACCATATGAATGTGTATATTTATCTTTAAGCAAAATACATAAGTAGCCACTTGAATTATATGCCAAATTCCTGTTACACACTTTCTGAGGACCAATATCACCTTACACACAACCTTTCAAAATTATATCTAGTACACACTACTTTTTTCTTGATTCGTTTTTGTTTGGAGATTGCATCCACGTGCCAATCAGAATGTGACACGTGTCATAACTCATAACTCATTTGTAAATAAATAGTACTCCTTATATTTAAAATAAACCTTAATTGATTAAATTAAAAAAAATATTATGTCATCTTCCCCAAGCACTCCCCTCCCCCCTCTTCGCATATGCTTTCTCTTTGGCCATGGAGCTCAGAAGAGGAGAGCAATATCATCTACCATCTATCGAGAATAATACATGGAGCTCATAAGAGAAGACCAAAATCAAGGGCAACAAACAAAGCCAAGAATGCCATCATTATTATCACTGCAACAACGTTTTCAGATCCGAGAATGAAAGAGATGAATATTGAAATTGCAACTTCTCCTTCCTCCATTTTCCTCCTCCATTTTCAGATCTTATACTACGACCAAACAAAGCAAATCAAAGTTAATTTTTGGTTTCCATGAATTAAAGAACTCCATTGTGAAAAAATCTCTAATCTTCTCTTATAATTTTATTCATTCTCATGAAATACGAAAAACTATTCCTTTTTAATTATGTAATGATTGGATGTTTTGGTGCATTTTAATGGTAGAAAAATAAGTAAGACAAGTTTGGAAGGTCAAGAGACGACCGAGGGTTTAATTTCTGTTATTCTCATAAAAGAGCACCTTGTTTAAATTCTTTATCATGGGTTTTGATGGATTTTTTAAAGCTATAGGGGGAAGAGATGAAACAGAGGGGAATTTGGGGAAGACAAGTGAGGAAATGGTGGGTTGGGGGTGGTGGGGCTGGTAGTTTTGGGAAGGCGGAAGGTATTTTCATTTGATAAAAGGGAAAATTAAGGAAAATGTTATTACTTTGACACGTAGCACTAAGAGCCCGTTTGGACATAATAATTTTTTCCCTTTTTTCCAAAAAAAAATTACTTTTTTTCGAAATCAACGTTTGTTCATAAAATTTCCAATTTTCACTTGAAGATGCATTTTGGAAATTTTCGAAAATTTGAAAAACTCCAAAAAGCTGTTTTTCAAAATTTTCACTCAAATCACTCGCAAAATTTCAAAAACAACCCAAAATTATATTCATGTCCAAACACAACTGTATGATGAAGTGCTGAAAAAAAGTTGTGTTTGATGAAGTGCTGAAAAAAGTTGTGTTTGATGAAGTATGCTCCAACGGCAGTGGTGGTAGTGGTTGGTGGAGGTGCCCGATAGTGGTGGTTGTGAAATGGTGGTTGGTGGCGGTTGTGTGGTGATGGTGCAGTGGCGTCTGGTGGTGGCACTGCGCTGGTAGTAGACAGAGTGCTAATAAAAGATCACCTTGGCAGGAATTTTTAAGTAAAAAACGTTTTTTTACTATATACAGATTTCTAAGATAGAGTAGATGGGTGGTGAAACGGCTATGAAGGCACATGTACACCTTCATTCCTCATTGCGAATTAGCTTGAAAATGCTAAAAAAGGGATATTAGGAATGGAATAAGGATGTCTTTGGGAGGGTAGAGCTGAAAGTGAGGGAGCTGTGGGAGGTGGAAAGAGTGGAAAGGGTGAGGGAGCTTGAGTAAAGGGAAAGGGAAAGGGAAAAGGGAAAGGGAGAGGAATGAGGAAGTTACGGGAGAGCTAGCTTTGGTAGCAGCAACGTAAGAGACTAGTTGAGGCAGATATTGAGGGCATTTCAGTCAAAGGAGGAGGATTCTATTACTAAATTAAGTCATAGGGTAGCGGTTGTAAATAAAAGAAGGAATCTTATAGAGTCCTTATAAGTGGATGGGGTGGTTTTTGACGGAGAGGAGAAGGTAAAAGGGACATCAATGGCATTTTTAATGTTTGTATATGGAGTAAGTGAGTTGGAGACTTAAATTGAGGGGATTATGTTCAACCAAATAGGCGAGGGGAAGAGAGAGTGGTTAGAAAGGGCCAGAGTTGTGAAAAGCGCTCGCTTCAGCGCTTAAAGCGTGAAGCGAAGCGAAGCGGGAACTTGGTCGCTTCTATGTTGTGAAGCGTAGCAGGTGTTATAAAGCGTTCGCTTCTGCCAAAAAAGCGAGAAGCGTGAGAAGCGACAGAAGCGAGCGCTTCGATATATTAAGGTGCTGCCAACAATTAAAAATTAAAAAAGCTCTCTTTTTTCAAAACATATCGAGCATCAGAAAAGAACAGACGATTAGGGTTCCCATTTTCTGCACTTTTAAAGTTCAAGTTCATCATGT